GTTAGCTGTCCCCAGGGGCAGACTGGTTGCTGGGGAGGGGGAGGCTGCAGCCTGGCTCTCCCTTGAAGCCCCGGGGAGTGAGGCTTACAGATCTGTCCCCGGCCCCGCCGGGGACTCCCTCCCAAGCAGATGGCTACAAGGTGGTCTTCGTGCGGAGGAGCCCACTGGTGCTGGTGGCGGTGGCGCGGACCCGGCAGTCAGAGCAGGAGATCGCCCACGAGCTGCACTACATCTACTACCAGATCCTGAGCCTGCTCACCTGGACCCAGCTTAACCACATTTTCCAGCAGAAGCAGAACTACGACCTGCGCAGGCTCCTGGCCGGCTCCGAGCGCATCACTGACAACCTGCTGGACCTCATGGCCCACGACCCCAGCTTCCTCATGGGCGCCGTGCGCTGCCTGCCCCTGGCCGCCAGCGTCCGGGACGCTGTCAGCACCAGCCTGCAGCAGGCCAAGGCCAAGAGCCTGGTCTTCTCCATCCTTCTGTCAGGGAACCAGCTGGTGTCTCTTGTGAGGAAGAAGGATCAGTTCCTCCACCCTGTTGACCTCCATCTGCTCTTCAACCTCATCAGCTCTTCTTCTTCCTTCCGGGAGGGTGAAGCCTGGACTCCCATTTGCCTCCCCAAGTTCAACTCCAGTGGATTCTTCCATGCCCACATCTCCTACCTGGAGCAGGAGATGGACCTGTGCCTCCTGCTGGTCTCCACTGACCGCGAGGACTTCTTCACTGTCTCTGACTGTAAGCGGCGCTTCCAGGAGCGCCTGCGGCGGCGGGGGGTGCACCACGCTCTGCAGGAGGCCCTGCGCACCCCCTTCTACAGTGTCGCCCAGGTGGGCATCCCCGACCTCCGGCACTTCATCTACAAGTCCAAGAGCTCTGGGCTCTTCACCAGGTGAGGCCCCTGGGGCACCGTCGGCCCAAGGCCGTGGTGTGGGACATGGGGCAAGCCTTCTCCACGAATCCCCTTCTCTTGGGGGCTAATGGGGTGCTGTGTTCCCGCAGCCCCGAGATTGAGGCACCCTACGTGCAGGAGGAGGAGAAGGAAAGGCTCTTGGGGCTCTACCAGTACCTCCACAGCCGGGCTCACAACTCCTCGCGCCCCCTGAAGATCATCTACTTCACGGGCCCCCATGAGAACCTCCTGGCTTGGGTAAGAGCCTCCTGCAGGGTTTGGGTGAGCTCTTCTTCTCCAGTCCTGCGTGGTGGAGTAAGGGGGTGGTGGCACAACACAGCACCACCTCCGTGGTCCCCAGGGTGGCCCCCAGCTCATGCACGGTCGTTTTGGGGGCCAGCCTGCCCCTGTGCACCCCTGTGCCAGGGAGAGACGGGCAGGGATAGCAGTGGGGGCTGGCAAGTGCCAGCACCGAGGGCTGTGTCATCTACTGTTGTGAACTCCCCCCACCAAGTGCCGCAGAGAAAACCTACTCTGGGAGCAAACCCTGGGGTTCGGTCCCCCCACTTCTGAGCAAACCAGGTACCATGCATTTAGGGTACCCTGTTGCCACCCCGTGACCCTGCACTGGAGCCCCCGTGCCTGTTCCCAGTGGGGGAAAGGTGCAGTGCCAGCCCCAAGTGGGGCGCAGACGTGTGCCCAGGGTGTACCCTGTTTTTTCGCCCAGGTGACCAGCGCCTTCGAGCTGTACATATGCTACAGTCCCCTGGGGACCAAGGCCGGAGCCATCAGTGCTGTCAACAAGCTCATGAAGTGGATCCGCAAGGAGGAAGACCGACTCTTCATCCTCACGCCCCAAACGTACTGACAGGCATCGCCCAGGGCATGATGCCAGCCGGAGGAGCCCCCGCTGTGCCGGGGAGCCTGTTCCCCGGGGAAGTCCGGGCCATGAGTCCAGGGAAGAGGGCATGGTGGGACCCCAGAGCGTGGGGAAACCCACCCATGGGACTGTCCAGCCTGGGTGTTAGAGACGGGATGCCCAGCTGCCTGGGGAAGGGGTGAGCAGGACTTTCTCTCCTCTGCAGGCAGTGCCCCCTGGCTGGGGTGGCAACCCTTCGTCTGCGGCCCCCGGCTCCATCCCTCGTTGTGGGGGTCCTAAAACAGGGCTACTTGTACCCTGGGTTGCTGGAGGGGAGCTGAGCCCCCCCTAGGTGCTGCTGCCTGTGCCTGACACCCTTCTCTCTGCCATCCTGCGGCTGTGCCAAGGGTGGGGTTCCCCAGGGGAAACGTGGCAGCACTTGGGGGACCCCTGTGCTGCTGTGCCCGCAGAGGGCAGGTGACATCACCCAGGCGGGGGTCAGGGCTGGCCTGAGGCATGATCTTCTCCTCTCCCTGCCCTGGGGGAGCTGGGCCCCCCAAGTGCCAGGCAGCCCCTGGCAGTCCCGGAGCCCTGCCCTGGCGGGTTTGCGCCCTTGGCACCTGTGTGAGCCTGGACCCTTCCCACCATGGCTGTGAGAAGGATGTCTCTGGGGATGCTGGCAGGCAGGGTAGTGGATCATCCTGCCCCAGTCCAGCAGCAGGGTTCTGCCCACCTGCCCACAGGGACACAGAACAGCCCTAGAGAGACTCGGGTTACTGGGCTGCCCATCAGGGTGCTTGTGGGCTCATGGTGCTGGCTCCTGAGCAGCATGCCCTAAAGGGACAGCTCAAGCGCAGTTTCCCAGAGATCGGGCTGGCACAGGGTGCCCCTCTAGCACAAGGAGGGTCTTCCCCTTGGTGCCAGGGCACCTGCTTCCCAAATCCAGCCCCACAAGCCAGCTATGCTGAGCTTGCTGCGTGGGGGCCACCCCCTCCCTAGCCATCCCCAGGCACTGGTGTGGGGCTGAGCACCCCTGAATGCCGCGGCATGGTGGGAATGGTGCAGCCCCGTGTTTTGGGTCTGTCTGCCGAGCGCTGGGACAGCTGTTCAAGGAGGGGCAGAGCCACGGGGTGGCACGGAGACATCGAGGGAGCTGGGAAGGACCTGGCAGGGCTAGCGCAGGGACTGCGCTCCCATATTTATGCTCCTGCCAGAGTGTAATTCCTTGGTTTTGCTCATAAACATTATCCAGACCCTACGTCAAGTCTCGTCGCGTTCATGGGTGTCCACTTCGGGGGGGGCCAAACGGCCAAGCTGGGGGGGAATTTCGATGTAAGTTTGGGTGCAGAGCACTCCAGCTCTGGGGACCCGCTGGGGGCTGGGAAAGCCGCCGGGAAGTGGCGCAAGGCAGCCAGGGCTGTGCTGGCAGGAGGCAGTGCCAGCGGGAGGGTGGGAGTGACAAAAACCCCGGGACAAGGTGGAAAGAGCCAACTAATGTCGAAACCGAGAAGGAGAGGCGCAGCCGGAGGAAGGAGCTGTTGGGTAAGGCGCGGGGCCAACGTAACCGCCGGGCCTTGCACAACACGGGGCGGGAGCCAGGCAGGGCTGGGGCCAGCCAGGTGACGAGGGATGGGGAGCCAGTTTTCGGCACGTTCAGCCCCAGCTGGGACCAAAGTCCCCTCAGCAGTGCGAGGCAGCGCCCTGCTCGTGGAGGAAAAGTCTCTGTGTGCAGCTGGTACCAAGGGCAACGGGCGCTCGGAGGACAAATCCCTTGGGTGCATTGGGATGTAAAACATCTTCCTTCGTCCCTGGCAGCAGCGGCAAGTCCTGGCACCTCCTGCCAAGCGTTGGGACCTCCTGCCACCACTTAAAACACTTCATGATGAGGGGAAAAGGGACGTGAGATGAAGAACGAGCACAACTGCAGTAACCCCCATGGCTCCTATCGCAAAGCTGTGGCTGCCCTTGGCCTGGTCTTGCCCCCCAGATGGAAACCCCCATGCTGAGCGTGCCGCACCCCCCAGAAGGCCCCACCACCAGCCTGGAAATGAGTTGCCAACGTGGTGCCAGCATGGGCAGCTTCGGGGAAGCAGCAATTTCATGC